GACAAGGATGTCATGTGTGACGGTGTCAAACTACTACTAGATATGAAACTACAAATCGAGCAGCAAATTTTTAGAAACCTAACAAATACAGAATCCAGGTGTGAGAACACGGAAATTGGGGCAACTCTAAGTCTATCAGTCTTGCCTCAATATTAAGCAAAGCTTTGCAAAAATTTCTGCAGTACATATTAATTAATGGAATAATTAAAAGATTCATACTTATGCCAGAATAACTCGGTGTCTTTTTCCATCAAGAAAAAAATTTCTCTGTATGAAGAAAATACAATTCACTTTATGTCACTGACTGTGAAGCACAGTAAAACATTTGATAGGAGTCTTCCCAAAAGATTATTCAGGTGGGAAAATAGGCCATTATACGTGATTGTCTCAATGAACATGCTGTGTTTGTTATATTTGTCTTGGACCATTATCAAATTATTACAGAAATGCACAGGTTTACTTCAGCAGAAATCCAGACATGCATTCAAATTCTTCTGGTGGTAAAAATCCAGGTAGTTCTTCTGCATTCAGCTTTACATATTTTGTCAAGCTGGCAACAAGAAGTACTGTCCCAGGACCATTCAATTAATAATACTCTTTATTTTATCTACATTATGATTATTTTTGTAAGCATTTTTTTAGATTATTTGGTTTGTATGTTAGGGTATCTAGTCACAGATTGTTCTTTTATAGCTGATAGCCTCAATAGCATTTAGAAGTCAAGTACGAAAAGCTGAAAACTGCACAGTAGACAAACAATTGACTAAGAATGAGGCTGAACAAAAATTTATCAGTGGAATTCATTGAAAATTGGTCTTATGACTGATAATTTTTAACATTTCTGGTCTTTCTCTTCCAGACAGAAGAGAAGCGCATTATAAGCCATTTGCAATTTACCTCTTGGCCAGACCATAATACTCCCAAGCTGGCTGAGCAGCTTATAAAATTTATTTGTTACATGAGAAAAGCTCACAGTACAGGACCTATTGTTGCTCACTGCAACACTGGCATTGGGAGAAGTGGAGTTTTGCTGTGTGTTGAAGTTCTGCTCAGCTATATAGAAAAAGATTTATGTGTAAGTATCAAACAGATCATCATTAAGTATTACAAATTGGTATGGATGTCAACAACATGTGGGGGTATCTTAGACCACAGTAATTCCTGGTAGAATTCAACCTAACAAAATGGAATAAACCCAGGTTTTGTTGTTTTAAAAACCAAATATAATAACTACAAATACGCTATTTGTAAAAGAACCAAGTCACGGCCTCCCCATCTAAATATATTTAAATCTTTCTTTATAACTTGCATGTCAACAAAATAAAACTGTTCTCTTCTGATAGTTTCACATCAAGCAGGTAGTGAGAGATCTGAGAGATCAGCGTTTCGGCATGATCCAAACTAAGGTAAGTTCTCAATATTCAAATAGTTCATGATTTTTAAAAGCCACAATTAGTGGTACACATGCTTTGATAAATCTGGGGCTTAAAGCCTCTTTCCTCTCATTTGAGGAAAATAACAGAAGTGGTGTCTAGATTTAAATGTGAAAAGTCTGTCCCTTACTAACTAGTTGAAATAAAAGCAAAGCACCAATATAGTACAGATACTAGCCCCCAGCCACACTTTTTTTTTAAGCAAAAAGAAAAGCAGGGATCAATAACAAAATGAGTGAGATACTGTAAACTCTACCATGCAAAGTAGCGATCTTCAATTCAAAGATGAATTCTTGCTATTGCTGAGTAAATAAGGGTAAACCCTTCCTCTGCTGAGTTAAACCTACCCCTGAAAACAGTTTTCACACAGGAAAAGACAAGATGCCACTAACTCGATTTAGAGCAAACAGGCGGTGGAAAGAAAAGCAAGACAAGACTAGGATAAGTTCTTCCTATAGGCAAATATTTTAGCACATGCTTTGAAATATTTTTCTTCAGGATAATGACTGAGCATGTGATTAAAATTAAGCAAACAGATAACCTTCACTGACCTAAATGAGACTTGAGCATGTGCTTACAGGTACTGCATTGAGTAAGAAAGCATTCCTGAACTTTTACAAGTGATGAAACAAAAAGAACAAGGATGCTCTTAAATATCTAAGGTTTTGCATCCATGTGACAAAGATGCTGATGTTATAAAAAGCACTTCAGCCAGTCTATCCTTCTTTCTTAAGAATTTACGTTGAATGCAACCAGGTGTTTCACATTTGTCTCTGTGTACAGGATGAGTATTTATTCTGTTATGAAGTTGTGCTGGAAGTCCTTCAGAACCTTCAAGCAATGGATTCCTACTGACTGCAATATGACTCTTCCCTGTTGCTATTTCCCTTGGGACTCCAGAGACCACTCAGCAATTGCTTTAACGAGATTGTCAAGCCAGCACAGACAAGTGTTATTTTACATGCTTTTTTAGATTACTCTGATTTCTAAGGCATTTCAAAACCTTTCTTAACATGTCCTGGGTAAGTTATTTAAATCTTGGCTCACAGTTTGGAGAAACAGCCAACCACCACTGCAACACTACTGTTAAATTGCCATGGACAATTTGCACGTTCTGTGTAATAACATATGAGTTGTTCAGAAAATATTTTGGGACTGTGACAAGGAGATAGCAGCCTTTGGAATTAGCTTTACTTTCCAGAGGGCAACCATAAAGATCTAAGATTCTGCTGGTGCTGGTGGAAGATTAGTTGCCCCTTATATATTGTTGTGCACTATTGGCTTCTGGACTGCAAATCAGTATTTTCTACAGTAGTTATGCTTTTGTGTGAAGGACTCAATTTGCTTGAACAATGTAGAACTCTTTCCAGTCATCACTCCAGCCCAGGAATTTATACCACCACCACTAGACATCTTAAATCAAGAAAATGATAGAAAAACAGGATGCCTTTAAACTCTAGTTGGTTCTCTTGAAATCAGGAAGAGCATTCTAACAATTGTATGGAATATTAATTTTTCCCAGCAATATGAACAGCTGTAGATAGCATCAGTATTCTTCTATTCTGCACCCATGCAAAAAGAGTGCAGTACTAAGCCAGATTAAATGACCGTGTGTGCGTTGTGGCACACATACACATTTCATCTTCCCCTGATCCTTTCCCTTGCTAAAATATTTTGTAATTCTTATCTAGGATTTCAATCAATCTAGAGGAAGTCCCATTGGTTTCAGTAGAGGCTAAATCAGATCTTTAAATTGGAGTAAGTAATTCTCTGTACAGTTTATTTCTCTTGCAAAAAGTGTTTCTGTTAGTGTGAGTTTGAGTGGACTTGTCCAGAAATCTGCTGTTCAGGTTTGTAAGGTTGTTTCTATAGTACTAGTTCTAAGTTCTTTATCTAAAAGGTGATATATATGGAAGAGGAGTTATTAGATGTGCATTGGCAGAGTAACTTTTAAACGTAGGAAATTATAATAGCATTTATTTAACCAAATTGTACATATTTTTAAAACTTCTTTGATTTCAGGAAAGGAGAAAATATTAAGAGGTATTTGAATACAAAACTGAAGTAGAAACAAGACAATAAAATAGCTGTTTATTTTAATTATGAATGAGAGCTTTATGGTTCATGAAGAATGAGGGATTAAACACAAATTAAAAGTATGACTTTTAGAAAAAGCCACTGTAGTGCAATTATAATTAAGACCAAGGGCTATTTTTTCTTTCTCCCCTCAGATAGTCTGCTGGAAGTCAGGAAAAGACAAAAATGAATTTTATGATGTGAGCCAGATGCGAATTTCAAACATATTGATAGAGATCCAGAGCAACACTAAATTAGTGGAGTAACCCAGGACTTGTATTGGTATAAACATAAACAGAATTCAATGTTTTTGTCTTAAATTTATTGATTTGAGCCTTCCCAGAAGCATTACTCTCCATACATTCTGCATTTACTACTTTATGTTGCATATAAAGGCCTATTTGTGCAGTTTTGTCAAGTGTCATCAGCCAAAATTTTGTTCATAACTTTGTTACCTTCATTTAGTATTTGGCCTTTCATTTTAATTTTAATTACCACATATGTACTACTATGCAATGAATGCACTACACTGCACACGAATGCACAATCACTTTTTGTACCACAGCAACTTTAAAAAGCTTCTCAGTGAAAATATTCCTGTACTTTATGCAAAGGTGTTCTTTCTGTGATTTAGAACAAGCATTCTGGATTTAGAAGACAAACATCATGGCATTATTTTTTCCTTCACATTTGTACATCATCTTTGCAGCTGTTTGACAGAAGTTTTTCCTGTTTTACAGGGATATTATAAAGATTTGTGAAAACACTGAATTGCATTTAATTTTCTTTTTTTTTTAAATGAAAAAGCAGCTGTAATACTTAACTGCTAACCAGTAAGAGCTCTAGGGAAAATATTTTTTTATCAATTGAGGCTTATATTTAAATTTGCTTTAAAGGCAGCTTTTGTGATCATTTTCTGTGATGTATCTTTTTTTTACATTCTCCTCAACCTCTGAGGCATTCTGCCATATCCCATGTTCTTATCCTTTAGGAATATAATAATTAAGCGCTTTTAAACAGATACTATGTTTATGATCCCCTTAATGACATCCTCACTCTGACTGAACTTTGGTTTGGATGAGACATACACTTTTACTCAGATCTAGTCCTCTAAGGCTGCCAGCAAAGTAAAACAAAACAGAATTGTTTTTACAGATATTTTGTAATCCGTTATATAACAAAGAAACTTTCACCCACAGAAAATCTCAGAGCCTCTCAAACTAACTTTGAGAGGAGACAGATCGATGCAATTTACCACACGCTGGGTAACAGGCCTTCCCTCTGTCACAGTCCGGAGTGATCCTACAGATCAAGTCTCAATCCACAGCCTGAAAACATTTTAAGAAAACTGCAGATTTGCAAGGGTTTTGCATATGTTTGAAGCTAATGGCTGGTCACCTCAGTACTAGTACTGCTCATGAGCTCCATTTCTGACAGTCAGCCTAGACAGCAGGTAAATTTTGAGGAGGGAAGGACTGAAATGATAGACACAGCTTCTTCCTACAATAAACACCATGTTTGGAGAAATAAAGAAGAGCCATCACCAGAAAGTGCTTAGCAGATGTGGCTGCTGTATATGCACTCTTGGAGATGCCAAGGAGGCATCTGTTCTCAGCTTCCCCTTTAAAGGTAGGATTCAGGGATTCAACTTCCAGCTCTGCTGCAGTCTTCCTGAATAAGCCAAACCACTTAAACAGGATTCTCTGCGTCTCATGGGTTTCTTCTTTTACACTGCACTACTGGGGTACACTCACATCCTTTGTAGATGGGACCACTGATAGTGTAGATAAACTGGGAACAGTTAAAAGACTGTTAAGAATCATTTAAGTGTAGGGGAATCTGGCTACGTCCAGCAGCTCATACACCCTTTCCCCCCATACATAGTACAAATGAGAGTATCACTTCTGTGTTCTTTACTCATGCAAAACTCCCATGGAGATCATCACTCATTGATACACATTTGGAACAAGACTGTGATAGTTTAACTTAGCTGGCAGCCAAACAAGACATAGCCACTCACAGTTCCCTGCCCCTTCCCCACCCCACCCAGGGAATCAGGGAGAGAATTTGGAGGGGTAAAGGCAAGAAGACTTGTAGGGTGAGATAAGAACAATTTCATAATTAGAGTAAAATAAAATTAAAATAGTAGTAAAAATAACAATGATAACAACCATATATATATGAATGGTGCACAGTACAAGTGCTCACCACCCACTGATAACGATCCCAGCGGAGTGAAAAGGAACCCTGAAACCAAAATCACAATCCCAGAAAAGCGAGCCCAAGCGATTCCTGAGAGAATCTCCCACTTTCCAGTCAACCCTGGTTAATATACTGAACATGACATATTATGATATGGAATACCTTATTTAGCATATCCCACTGTTAGTTCTGGGTTTTGCTAACTACTACACTTTCCCCCTGCAGTCCTCTGCACTTGCAAACTACCCAAACACCATGTCCTTGTACCTTATCACCATTCTTCTCATAACAAATCCCACACTGAACCCAAATCACAGCGCTTTCCAGCTTCTAGGAAGACAATTAACTCTAGCCTAGCAAAAACCAGGACAAAGATACAACCCATTCCTTAAAGAGTTCACACTACTTGACAAGTCAGGCTAAACTGGAAAGAAAGGAAGACCTACTGTCCCATTTCAGTCACAGGGAAGTAAGGTGGGAATTGGTGATTTGTTCAAGGTCTTCTTCTTTTGGAAAACTTGCGAACTAAACCCATACAATATAGGCTCTGATTCTGTCCCAACACACAAAGGTATCTTTCTTCAGTCAGAAAATAGGACCATACTGCTCTGGCCCATTTCTGATGAGATATTATTTAGCATGCAAAATGGTCTGACTGGAACTTGCACACATCCTAACATGCAAGAGATGCATTATGGTACAGAACCTCAGTCTGTGCCTGGGGTCACACTGCTTACTTCAGAAGTGGCACTGAGATCACTATTTGTATTTCTAAATCATGGTACTCTACTGTCTAGTCATCAATCAGGACAAGCTGCAGTACAAGTGCAAACATAAGTTGAAGGCAGTGCCTGACATAACAAGTACTCAAAACAAGTAAACATCTGCTAGTCCTCAGATTCATGCTGTAGCACCAAACCTTGTCAGTGATACTGTGTTCCAACAGTAGCTCTGTCCATGGAACAGCACATCCTTACTCTGGGGAAGCGACTGTTCTACTACCACTGAGACTGCTGCTAAGTTTTGTATGTCTACCATTTATTTTTTAATTTAAAAGCAAGTATAGCAAGGACAATCATCTCATAGCTATTAAGTTACAAAATCATGTGAGTAGGGGGAAAAGAGTGTCTCCATTCTTTCCTTTAACACTGTCATTGAGTTCCATGGGCTCAGGACTGCTTCATGCTGATGGCTCCATGTACTCTAATACCCCATCTGCCACAGCAAGATAACTTGTAATACCCACACATGCCAAAATGGCTGCTATTGGCTACAAGAACATTGTCAATTTTGAATCATTGGTATTAAAAAGTACTAACATGTATTTTTACAACTTGTACTGATATAATCAGGCTCTCTTAATTTTCTTTGAAAGCCTGAGAGAGGAGTCAGTAAATTTTCTCTAACTGTATTTTTGGTTGGAGTTTATGGCCTTATTCAACACCATAATCTTCTGTGATGGAGCAAATACAGTAAATGCAAATACCGCTGGTATTGCGAAAGAACAGCAAGTACTGCCATCTACGGGCAAATCACTTCTGCGACAGCATTAGGTGCAATTAGTCACTCACGCGGTT